ATGCTGGGAAGAGCCTGTTCTTCCTGTCAGCTCCACATGCTCTGTTGTCTCTACCTTTGGCTGTGACCTCAGAAGATAACAGGGGTCTTCCTGTACTATAATTTTGTCAAGAGAAACATGACAAAGTCTGTTTTGTTTTGTTTTTTAAGTTCTTGAAAAAAGGCTTCTTGAAAGATCAGAGGATGGGATTAATCATTTTCATAAGATTGCAAAAAGGATTTTGACATGATAGGGCCAGACTACATAGCAAATTATTACACATATTTAATAATTTTTAAAGGGTATACAAATTACAGAATATCCGTCCATTGTCCAGCCTAGAAATAAAGCTCTCCCTGTCCTGCCAATCCCCTGTGTCTCTCTCCACTGTTGCTTCTGCCTTCCTCCAGCACCTGTAAGATGGCCATTTTTTAAATTTCATAAAAAGCATCGTTGCATATATCCTTATAATTTAGTAGGTCAATTATACATAATATTGTTCAGCATGATTTGAAACTTGATATAAATAGTGTCAGCATAGTGTATCTACTCTTTGTCAACCTGCTTTTTTCATTCAATGTTCATGTAATTCTAGGCCATTCCTTCTCACATATGGCATTCCATGTATTATAATTCCAGGGCACAGGGGCAGCGCCTGTAGCTCTAAGGAGTAGAGCACTGGCCCCATGTGCTAGAGGTGGCGGGTTCAAACCCAGACCTGGACAAAAACAAGAACAAACAAACAAAAAATTCCAAGGCACATATCACTGTTTATTTACACATTTCCTGATGATTGAAATTTAGATTACTTCTGATTTTTTTTTGCTATTACATACAATGCTGCTAGGAACAATCTTATAGAAATCTCCTTGTGAATTTGTGTGAGTTCTCTATGTGTATATGTGCATATATGTGTGTATATACATATATGTTATATATATAATTGGTAGGTCCTAGAATAATTCTATGACTATAATTGTCATTATAGGTATAGACTGTTAGAAATGTATGGAACTTTTGAGAAAAATCTGTTGTGAAGCTGGGTGCAGTGGCTCACGCCTGTAATCCTAGCACTCTGGGAGGTCAAAGTGGGAGGATCGCTTGAGCTCAAGGTTTTGAGACCAGCCTGAGAAAGAGCGAGACCCATCTCTTGTAAAAATAGACAAATTAGCTGTGCTTGGTGGCAAGTGGCTGTAGTTCTAGTTAGTTGGGAGACTCAGGCCAGAGCCCAGGAGTTTGAGGTTGCTATGAACTAGGCTGAGGCCATAGCACTCTAGCCTGGGTAACAGAGTGAGACTGTCTCAAAAGAAAAAAAAAGTCTGTTGTAATTCTCATTTTATAGAAAACTTAAGGTGAAGGAAGGTAAAGTGATTTTCCCAGAGTCCCAGGGAAGTTATGGGCATATCTAGGTAGACCCTAGGTCCCTAGCCTCCCAGTTCTGGCCTCTGAGATAATCTTTGTAACTATGTGTAGCATAAACCTTTCGTGCTGTGGCTATATGGGCATTCGT